AAAAAAAAAGCTGGGTGTGGTAGCGCATGCCTGTAGTTCCAGCTACTTGGAAGCTGAAGCAGAAGGATTGCCTGAGTCCAGCAGGTTGAGGCTGTGGTGGCCGTGAGTGTGCCACTGCACTCCAGCCTGGGCAACAGAGTGAGACTCTGACTCAAAAAAACAAAACCAAACCCCAAACACCCCCAAAACAACAAAGAAACCAGGAAAACTTAGGTCTGAATATTGCAGAAGCACGAGAAGAACCAACAGCTCAAGGTCATGGCAAGGCAGCGGAGTTGCGACTCAATCACAGGAGTGCCTGATTTTGAAATTTCTGCTTGACCACACCTACGATGCGGACGCTCAGACATGCCGCCCCTAAAAAACGCATCAAAGCGAAATCACTGTCAGCCCCTCCTTCTCCTTCTCGTTCTCCCTGTCTCAGCCGATGGGGTCTCGAGCCTCAGAAATGCGGGATGGATACAGAGCCCCCCTCTCAGCCACCAAGGCAGGATCCTACTGGTTCTACTTAGGACTAAAGTTGCCTCAGCCCTAACCATCATTCATTTCACCTGTCTCGTAATTCTTCCACCGGTTTTTCCCCATTCCAGACTTCTTTCCACACGGTTGCCAGGCAAGTCATTTTAAAACTCCTGCTTCCTGTTATCCCCATATAAAGTCAGACGCCGCAGGGCTACCCGTAGACCTGTGAGTCCATGTCTCTCCCCTGCACACGCTTCCACCCATCAGATACTGATTGTCACGCCAAAGTATACGTGCCACTCACTTCTGCAGCTCGTGTACTAGGACCAGAACGAGGCAGAGAAGATCAGCATGGCCCCATGCAAGACCACAAATTCGTGGAAAGTATATACGTGCGTGTGCTTTTTTTTCCTTCTTTGCATGTGCTTTTCATCTGTGTGTACACATGCACACACTGGGGAGTTGGGTCTCTGGATAAAATGCCCTTTATCGACTCAGTCCCTTTTTATATCCTAGTCCCCCTTCCAGGAATGCTGTCACAAATTTCCAACTCCCATTCAGATCTCAAGACAGAGCTTACATACTGCTTCCTCCCTGAAGCAGTTCAGATGCCTTAAGAAACTCGAGGCCTGGCTTCTGTATTCACACCTGTATGCTCACTACATTTTTTTTTTTGCATACATACCTTTATTCATGTGACGGCCAAAAATTTTTTTTAAATGTACACATTTATTACAAAATCATAACAAAGACTGGACGGTGTTTAGCTCATTCTGGAAAGATGAAGCTCAGTGATAACACAACCCTGGAAAACCATCCAGAGATTGTGGCAATATCTTCTTGTATTAAGCTTGGCGAAACTGTCTTTCAAAAACAAGGGGAAGTAAAATGAAGGAGGCTGACCTGGCTCATCTTTCCAAATGAAATACGAGAAGGATCTTCACATAAAAATGCACACTGTTAATTTCATGTCCACGTTCCCTCTTCTCATCTTACTTTTCTAAGTGTAGACTGTGACATAGCGACTTTATAACTCTAGCATCATACCTGGCATAGATTAAATGTTGAATTATTATACCCACGAATGAGTCAATTAGGAGGTGTCATTGGCCATAAGGTTGTTAAATGACAGAGCTAGGGTCGCAACTCCAACTTTTTGGTTTTTATGTTCAAAAATCTTTTCAGCACTCAAGCAATTAGCATAATAAAAGCACTTCCAATCCACTTGTAGAGGATACAGGAAGAAAAGATTTCCAGGGGAAAAAAATCTCAAGAACAGCTTTCAGTCTTTTTTTTTCTTTTTGAGTTGGAAGCTCACTCTGTCACCCAGGCTGGAGTGCAGGGGCATGCTCAAGACCACCGCAGTCTCGACCTCCTGGGCTCAGATGATCCTTCTGCCTCAGCCTTCCAAGTAGCTGGAACTACAGGCATGAGCCACCATGCCCGGCTAATTCTTTGATTTATTGTAGAGATGAGGTCTCACCAAGTTGCCCAGGCGGGTCTTGAACCCATGGGCTTAGGCAATCCTCTCACCTCGGCCTCCCAAAGTGCTGGGATTATAGGTGTGAGCCACTATGCCCGGCCATCGAACATTCTTTATGTATACAAAGGGGAATTCTCTTAGAGGACAGGCCCCTTGTAGTATACTAATTTTTTTTTTTTTTTTTGAGTCGGAGTCTCACTCCGTCACCCAGACTGGAGTGCAGTGGCCGCTCCCGGTCACCGCAGCCTCGACCTGCTGGGCTCCAGCGATCCTTCCGCCTCAACCTTCCGAGTAGCCGGAACGACAGGCGTGCGCTACCATGCCCGGCTAATTTTTGATTTACTGTAGAGACGAGGTCTCGCCAAGTTGCCCGGGCGGGTCTCGAACCCGTGGGCTCAGGCAATCCACTCGCCTCGGCCTCCCAAGGCACTGGGATGACAGGCTGAGCCACCAAGCCCGGCCTATCTGGAAGTTTGGAGAAGGTTGCATCAGGATTTGCGGAAGAAACATCCCAAGTTGTGGCAAACAGGTGGCTGGTTCATCCACTACGACAGCGCCTCTGCCCACACTGTGCTGAGGGTGCAGCAGTTTTTGAGCACAGACGGCATGACCCCTGTGTCCTCCTGTCTATTCGCCTGATCTCTCTCAGAGTGACTTTTTTTTGGTTTCTCCAGATGAAAAAAGTCCTCAAAAGGAAACGTTTTGCCGATGTGGAAGAGGTGGAACAAAACACGGCAGAAGCACTCAAAGGTGTCAAAATCGACGAGTTCAAAAACTGTTTGGAGCAGTGGAAAAAATGTCTTGATTACATCAAATGGAGAGTGCCTTGAAGTCGACTGGAGTTTAAACATGTAAGAACAAATGCACAGTTTTTAGTAAATAAATTCTGGGCTTTTTTGGGTCGCCCCGATACATGAGAGAAGCAAAGTTTTGTCTCAAAAATCTTGTTTACCCAGATAGTACCTGTTAGAGGAACAGTTTCTCAGGGATAGTTGTTTTCCTTTGGGTTGTTTGGTCATCAGAGCCATTGCAAAAGGTAGAGGGACCACGGCCACAAGGTTTTGCAGTGGGGAAAGGATAACTGGCTCAACCCCGACTACAGCATGGGCAAGTAGGAATATATTTATTCATTTATATGTTTTAGAGACAGGTCTCGTTCTGCGGTCCAGGCTGGGGTGCAGTGGTTCCATCACAGCTCACTGTAACCTTGAACTACTGGCTCTGCTCTCCCACCTCTACTACATGTGGTGCCACCACACAGGGCTCGTTGCAAGTGGGAATTTTTTTTTTTTTTTTTTTTTTTTTTTAATAATTAATCAGTATTTTTATTATAGTTTTGTGGGGTATAGTTAAGGGTTAGGTGTACAATTACGTTTCATTCAGACACCCTGTTGATAAGAGGTGTTTTCCCAGCCCCAGACAGATATTTGCTACTGTTAATCCCCTCCCCCTCCCGCAAGTGGGAATTTATAGCCAAGAAGGAGGGCAGAGGCCAGTGGGTGGAAAATCACCAAGAGGAGACTGTGAAGACTCTAAGGAGCTTAAATAGAATTTCATGCCTTATGAATCAGATTGTTAACTGTCATGAAAACTTACTGAATATTCTACCAAGAGGCAAGGTTTTTGGTGATCGGAGCTGGATTTTATTTATCTATAAAGGTAAAAAAAAAAAAAGACTTACGCATAAGTCCCCTCAAACTGCTTAGACTAAAATTGAATGGCAAGACCTTTGCAAATTTCATTCTTTTTACGCCAAATAAGTGCACTTCAGGGAGCTGTCACTAGGTGGCGAGGCACTGCCTGGGTAGGAATTTCTCTAGAAATTAATGTCTCAGAGCCTTGGAAAACCACTCAGAAGTCAATTTTTCTTTGTAAACAAGTTTAAATGAATAGTTTTATACACACACACACACACACACACACACACACACACATACACACACACATCGATAAAAGTAAGCTCCATTAGGGAGTGTTGTAGGAAATGTCATTCAACTTAAACAATAATAAAACAGAACATTTAAAGGTTAATTTAGTATTTAAGTTAGCAAATAGTTAAATCCATTTCTCAGCGGTGTTTCACCTTCACCTGGGATGCTCCCACGCTGATGCCTTCCCTTTGAACTCAGACAGGTCAGGTGGTAAATCCAGGTCTGACCCTGGAGTCTCTGTTCCTGTCACCACACCACACACTCTACCTTGCTAACCCGCTGTTCACAGATGGGTACATTTGTCCATCCCAGAGTGGGAGGTACCGTTGAAGTTGTCTGGTCCAATCTTATAAGTGCAAATCCATGCCTATATGTTTTTACTTTAGAGATTAAAAACAAAACAAAACTGAGGACCAGAGGGAAGATGTTCGCCTAAGGTTGTAATTTTCTGAGCAGCAGATCCAAAGACATGATAAACCCTTAAAGCGTTTGCTGGTGTTCACCATTCCTAGTGGTGGCTGCAGTTCCCCACGGACTCAACACTGAAAGTTGAGATAGGGACCTCCCTAATAAGGGGATCCCCTCCTCCACTGCAGAGGGTACGTATGGCTGCAGGTTTCTAGAATTTTCCTGACATCTTTTCCGCCACCTTCTCAGATCTTCCATGGGAAGTATACTAATTTCCTCACCAACTCTAAAAATAACCATCCACAGATTAGGGTAGTTATATGTTCTAGTGTCATATGATTGTTTTGCTTTGTTTTTTGTTCCTTTTTTAAATAGGAAGAAATTTAGAAGTCATCTAGCTTAATGCTCTTATTTTAATAGAACATCTGAATGTTAAGATGAATAGCTTATACACAAAGTAAAAGCAAAATTTGGAAAATATATAAATATACATAAAGACTTTTAGATTCTCTAACCCAGGGTTTATAATCTCCTTTAAAAATCTGGTGACAGCTATGGATCCTCTTCCCAGAAAAACACCATAAGCACAGACACACAAAAACTGTCCAGTTCCAGAAAGCATATTTTACGTCAGCCCTTTCAAACCTTTTCATAGACTCTTAGTTGAGAACTTTGCTTGTTAGCTTGTTTTTTCAGAATAGGGTCTTGCTGTATTGCTCAGGCTAGCCTCAAACTCCTGGGCTCATGTGATCCTTCTCTCCTCAGTCTCCCAAGTAGCTGGAACTACAGGCATGCACCACCATGCCTGGCTTCTTAGTTGAGAACTCTGAATCTAAGCGTTCAAATTCAAGACCATTGATACAGTTTTTGTAAAAAAAGATGAAACTGATGATGCATTCAATACATTTTATTTTTTCAAGTACTTATGAGTTTCTCTTTCCCTATGTGATCCCTAGTGACATATATTAAGACCACAAAAGAAGGTATTGAATCTGTAACCTCTGCCACATTAAGATAATGATGCCATAGAGCGAAAGAACCAGCTTAAAACAAAGAGAAAACAAGCAAGTGAAAGGGAGAGCCAGAGAGAGAGTGAGTGTGAATGAGAGAAAAAGGGAGAGAGACAGAAAGAGAAAAGAAAGGGAAGAAAGAAGGGAAGAAGGAGAAGAAATCCATAAAATTCCCTATGGACTAAAGAAGATCATGATTTTAGGTATATATGAATTTAAATTTGTGGCCTTTAAAATCTACTTCATGTGTCTTTCCCAATTTCAGTGATCCACAGTCATTTAAGTTACAGAGCCTAAGGGGGCAGCTTGAAAATAATAATGTACTAAGGGGCCGGGCACGGTGGCTCATGCCTGTAATCCCAGCACTTTGGGAGACCAAGGTGAGAGGACTGGCTGAGCCCACGGGTTCGAGACCAGCCTGGGCAACTTGGCGAGACCTCATCTCTACAATAAATTAAAAAAAAATTAGCCAGGCATGGTGACACATGCCTGTGGTTCCAGCTGCTTGGAAGGCTGAGGTGGAAGGATTACCTGAGCCCAGCAGGTCGAGACTGCGGTGACCATGAGTTTGCCACTGCACTGGGTGACAGAGTGAGACTGACTCAAAAAAAAAAATGTGCTAAGAACAGTGCATGCTTCTTCAGGGAGCACAAGTATGAAGTTTCTTTCCTTAGGAAAAAAATTCTAAGGAAATTACTTGTACTAGATGCCTAATAATAACAATTAGGTGACTCAGCATACATGAAGACTAGCTTGTAATCTTTTTTAAAGTTAAAAATGTCCTTAACATATTTTAAGTGTGATTAAAATAAAATCAACACAAATAAAAATAAAACAAAACACTTTGGCTGGGCATGGTGGCTCATGCCTGTAATCCCAGCACTTTGGGAGGCCAAGGTGGAAGGATCACCTGAGCCTAGGAGGTCAAGGCTGTGGTGGGATGTAATTGTGTCACCACACTCCAGTCTAGAGGACAGAATGAGACTCCAGTGGAAACCAAACCAAACCAAACCCCCAAAACCACTTAAAATGCTTTCTCTCAACTGGAAGTATGGCAGTTTGAGAAAACCACCAGGGGACTGTTTATGTTTACAATTTCCTTGTACTTTCTTGCACCAGAAATGTTAATTCAAAGCTTCTGGATGGTGTTTTTGAAATTCCTTAATTAGTTTCTTTTTTTGTTTCAAGGGGATGCTGGGGTTACTGTTAATCTCAAGAGCCAACTGGTGAAGATATTCAATTGTCCTTCCCTTTTGTTCTTCAAACTCCTTATAAGTCAAGCGTTGGCAAAATGTGAAGCCTTAAAAAAAATAAAAAGCACAATTGGTAAAGCAAGTTAAAAAAATAAAAACAACGAAATGTATTTATCCAAAGTGGCCTTATGCTGGATGATAATGTTACTTATGCTTACACTGTCTTTGCTCCAGAATAATAGTACTGTTTCTTTACAAAGTGCACTGTACTTTAGCAAAACATACATGATCTTATTATATATCTCTCTCTCTATAATATCTACAGAATAACTCTACCAAGCAGGAAGGAGAAGCAAGAAACTACAATCCCAGTTTCAAGAGAAATGCACAAAGAATTAAGTGAAGTGGTTAATAAATCAGAGGCATGTTCAAAACATGAACAAAGAATTTCTGAATTCTGCAGCATCGCTTTCTCAGGGTTTTAGTAGAGGTCTTAGCACGTACAGCTGACCTGTGCTAAGCCCCAGGTGAAGACAGCTTAGCCTCTGGCCATGGAAGCCACTTTCAGAGTTAGAAACCCTGAAGGCCATTCACGCCAGGCTTTTGCCAGTCTTCACCTGCACACAGCCCTGGTAGTGCCCCGGAGTGACACTGCCTCTGAAAACTTAAAACTCCACACCTAACTCCACCCGGAATCCACATCCTCTAAGTGGTAACATTATGAGAGTTTACGGTGAATGCTTACCATGTGTCAAGCTCTTGGTATTTTTTCTCGTTACATCTTCAGTACCCTCAGGTGCTGGTGTGTAGGTGCTATCACTAGCCACACCTTACTGCGAGTCAAAAGCCTGGACCACACACCTACCAGAGGCTGAGTCGGGATCCTGAGCCCTGCAGGGCTGCCCCTCCCAGGGGCCGGGGTCCTGACCACCATGCTCCACTGCCTTCGGGATGCCCCTTTCTGTGCCTCGGCTTCTCCGGGACCCATCCGGAGTCCAACACCGCTCCACATTTGAACATGCCCCTCAGTCCCTCCAAGCACCTCCCCCCTCTGCAATGCTGGGCCGAGCACAATCCTGGGCTCTTGAGCCACTTTCCAACCACCCTCTTGCCCTCCGACATCCAGTAAACACAGCAGTCCACCCTTATCTGGGGGGAATATGATTTGAGAGCCCCGTGGGAGCCTCAAGTACCTGGTGCTAAACGCTACATGTCCTGTGGCTTTTCCTCTATATACAGGATAAAGTTTAACTTATAAATTAGGCACGGTAAGAGATGAACAATAAATGACACTGAAATAGAACAATTATAGCAAAACTGTGATAAAAATTATGTGAATGTGGTCTCTCTCAACATCTTTTTTTTATTTTTGAGTCAGGGACCCAGGCTGAAGTGCAGTGGCACACTCACGGCCAGCACAGCCTCCACTCGCTGGGCTCAGGCGATCCTTCCACCTCAGTCTTCCAAGTAGCTGGAATTACAGGGGCTCGCCACCACACCTGGCTGATTTTTTGATTTACTGTAGAGATGCAGTCTCATCAAGTTGCCCAGGCGGGTCTCGAATCCGTGGGCTTGGGCAATTCACTCACCTCAGCCTCCCAAGGCGCGGGATTACAGGCTGAGCCACCGAGCCCGGCTTGAAAATTTTACCAAATAGGAGAGAAACTTCAAGAAAAAAACCAAACAGTTAAGCTATTTAGGGAAAAATATTATCAGATAGTCTTCATTTTCCAAGTGCTCATAGCACATGGCACTGCACAAATGCTTATATTAATACTCTCCCTTTCAAGTGTACTGTTGGATGAAAATATATATTAACACACTGACAATCCCTCTATGTGCTTCAAAGGCCAAGGGTAAAAGTGAAATGTGAGTAGCTAACGCAGTTAGTTTTGAAATCAGTCAGATAAAATGAAACTAATCCAGCTGGGTGCGGTGGCTCATGCCTAGAATCCCAGCACTTTGGGAGGCTGAGATGAGAGGATCGCGTGAGCCCCTAGGTTTGAGACCAGCCTGGGCAACTTAGCAAGACCTCATCTCTACAATAAATTAAGAAAAATTAGCTGGGCATGGTGGCACATGCCTGTAGTTCCAGATACTTGGAAGGTTGAAGTGGAAGAATCACCTGAGCCCAGCAGGTCAGGGCTACAGTGGCCATGAGTGTGTCACTGCTCTCCAGCCTGAGCGGCACAGTGAGACTCCAGCTCAGAAAAAAAAAAGAAAGAAAACAAAACAAAACAAAACAAACAAGAATCTGAGGAAGTCAGAAAAAGGGAGAACAGAGGGCACAGGAGCAAAGATGCAGGCAGATCACAGAAGGGCGTGAGAGTCTGGAGCAGCAGAGTCTTTTCCTCAGTAGAAAGGTAATTGAACAAGGGGTTTCCAAAAAGCATAAAGAAGAACTTGCCCTGGAGACACTAAAGCGTGCCCTACTGTAAGGAACTGCTGTTGCCAACCCTGCACGTCATTATTACATACTCATCTCTGCACCGTCTCCACTCACGCGGCCACGACAGTCACTTAGCGGTAGAGGAGGGAAGAATCTGAATCAGTACCTGATTCGGCATCTGGGTCTTGTCCCTGGAGAAGCTTCTTAAGTTGCTGACTCACCAGATCCAATAAAGTGACCGGTATCTACATAAGAACAGGCATTTTCAAACAGTTAAAATGAATTTTTTTCTAGCCAGAATTCAACATAGGAAAAAGCAAATCTCAGTATTTTGGGCCAATGAATAAGGGAAGAGGATTGCAGATGGGAAGAAAGAGTGGGTGGCAGAAGTCCACTGAGTTATTATAAAGGGCATGAATGCTTGAACATTTCAGTACTTGTAAATCTTATTTCCTGCTTTCATGTGTCCTATATTTGAAGTTAGCTTACCCCATCATCAGTGAAATGTTTTCCAAAAACAATAAAAATTATTTGTACTTCCATATTAGTACTTGTTAGGTAACCTTACATTGTGATTACATGGCCCATATGCAAACAGTAGGTCTAAAATACATTAAAACCCGATTCCTGTAAAATAGGTAAATACTCCTTTTCCAGTTTGGTTGCACCAAAAGTGATCCCAGCTACTCCATGTACCTGGAGAAACGGTCCCTCGACGGACACTGTCGAAAGCACTCCCTACCCCTTCCAGTCCCAAAGCTCACGTCCAGACAGCTCCACCATCGCAGCTCCCCGGCTACCTTTTCTTTTCTTTATTTTTTTAGGTGGAGCCTCACTCTGTCGCCCAGGCTGGAGTGCAGTGGCAGGCTCCCAGCCACTGCAGCCTCGATCCTGCTGGGTTCCAGCAATCCTTCAACCTCAGCCTTCCAAGTAGCTGGAACAACAGACAGGTGCTACCACGCCCAGCTAATTTTTGATTTACTGTAGAGACAAGGTCTCACTAAGTTGCCCGGGCTAGTCTCGAACCTGCGGGCTCCGGCAATTCCCCCGCCTCGGCCTCCCAAAGGACTGGGATGACAGGCTGAGCCACCGAGCCCGGTTCCTGGCTACTTTTACATTAGCATCTACTTGTCCTGCCACGAGCATGTCCCCATCAATTTATTCTGTCACCTGTATTGTTACAAGTGATCAACAAGCAGGTCAAGGTCCTGAACTCAGGGACGTTACATTCTCAAAGGAGAAAGACAGCTTAAGGAGAAATCAGCAAACACATGACACATACAATTTCAGGTGGTAGCATAATTCAGGAGGTAACAACTGACACTAAGAAAACACAAGTGGTAACAGGCCGGGGAAGAAATCAGTCAATGGACAACGGCACAGGCTGAGCCCAGTCACCGGGAGAACAAGCGTGGCATGTTGGAGGGCCCCATCACCACAACCCCGGCCCAGCCTCTCTGAAACACCTCACCCCCTGATCTCTCCAACCAGACACCACAGCCCTTCTCTCTGCTTCCCGACTCCCACACTCACACTTCCTCCAGCCCACATCTAGTTCTCTTGTGACCTCCTACAAATGTGAATCAATGTTTCTTTTTTAGAGATAGGTCTCATCTCGCTACGTCGCCCAGGCTGTAGTGGCTATTCACAGGTGTGATTACACTATAGTCTCTTATTTATTTATTTATTTATTTTTGAGTTGGAGTCTCACTCTGTCGCCCAGACTGGAGTGCAGTGGCCGCTCCCGGCCACCGCAGTCTCAACCTGCTGGGCTCCGGTGATCCTTCCGCCTCAGCCTTTCAAGTAGCTGGAACTACAGGCGTGCGCTACCATGCCCGGTTGATTTTTTGATTTATTGTAGAGATGAGGTCTCGCCAAGTTGCCCAGGCAGGTCTCGAACCTATAGTCTTGAACTCCTGGGCTCCAGTGGTCCTTCTGCCTCTGCCTCCTGAGTGGCTGGGACTACAGGTGTGAGCCACCACACCCAGCCCTTGAAATGTATTTTAAAAGCTCATATGTAAGTCAGTTAGGGCATCCTGTACTAATTTATCATCAGAAAAATATAATGGGCTCATGCCTGTAATCCCAGCACTTTGGGAGGCCAAGGCAAGAGGATTGCTTGAGCCCAGGAGCTCAAGACCAGCCTGGGCAACATAGCAATACCTTGTTCTCTACAAAAAAAAAAAAAATTTAGCTGAGCATGCTGGCACATGCCTATAGTCCCAGCTACTTGGGAAGTTGAGGAGGAAGGATCACCTAAACCCAGGAGGTTGAGGCTATGGCAAGTTGTGATCATGGCACTGCACTCCAGCCTGGGCAACAGAGTGAGACCTTGACTCAAATAAAAGTCATACATATAATGAATGAAGGTTAGGGACCAGGCTACCTAAATGTTTAATACTCCTACGTAGTTCACCTGCTAAAATGGGTCTTAGGTTTCAACTAGAAATTCAGAAAGAACGTTTCCCCTCCCCTCTTCCTGACTAACCAGCATCTTTCCACTTTCTTCTTTCTCACCCTGCCCCCATCCCTGGGCAAATTAATTCGCTTCTTTCCTACATATTGTGCAGAAGTTAAAGTTTTTTTCAGCTGGGCTCGGTGGCTCAGCCTGTAATCCCAACACTTTGAGAGGCCAAGGGGAGTGGATTGCCTGAGCCCGCGGGTTCAAGACCAGCCCGGGTGACTTGGCAAAACCTTGTCTCTACAATAAATAAAAAAATTAGCCGGGTATGGTAGCGTATGCCTGTAGTTCCAGCTACTTGGAAGGCTAAGGAGGAAGGATCGCTGGAGCCCAGCAGGTTGACGCTGGGGTGGCCAAAAGCATGCCACTGCACTCCAGTCTGGATGATAGAGTGAGGCTCTAACTAAAAAAAATAATAATAAGTTTTTATCATTTTTCTTTTCTTTCTTTTTTTTTTTTTGAGTTGGAGTCTCACTCTGTCGCTCTGCCTGGAGTGCAGTGGC